TCCGCGTGGCCTGAGCCGCGGCTGCCCGTCCATTCCATGTAGTGAGCCATTGTTTACAAGCCAGTGAGGAAGATTCCACGCGTACGTGTGATATATTTTGTATTGTTCCATTGTTTTTAGTGCTTGTAACTGCTAAATACACCACCATGGGCCCAAAGAAAGCTTCTAGTGCCAGCCTTGTGGTAAAGAGGAAAGAAGCACAATAGAATTCAAGAAAAAACTTGTAGCAAAGTACTAAAGTGGAGGAGGAAGAGAGGGGAGAATGTGCCTTATGCAGCAATTCTACAATATGTACCATACTAAAGCAGCAGGTATCGATAAAGGCTATAGTGCCAGCCAGCGATAAAGTGCAGAATTAACAGTGTAGCAAGTAAACCGAGTAAGTGATAGAAAAACAACACGGAAGTAACTCTCCAAAGTTGTTGGGTGTGTATAGGGCCGCTGAAGGTACGCTGCCCTGCTACATATCTTCTACCATCCTAAACCTCTGCCAGCATCTCCTCCATCAAACTAACTAATTAAACTAACATCTCCTCCAAGGTTAGTGTAAGTATAAAAGTAAATGAAAGTGTACGGTAGGGTTATAATTGAAAGAATTAGAGGTAAGACAGAATGTAGGATTGTGGATGAGCAAGGTGGTTTCACAGTGGGTAGGGGATGTGTAGATCAAGTGTTTACATTGAAGCATATATGTGAACAGTATTTAGATAAAGGTAGGGAAGTTTTTATTGCATTTATGGATTTAGAAAAGGCATATGATAGAGTGGATAGAGGAGCAATGTGGCAGATGTTACAAGTATATGGAATAGATGGTAAGTTATTAAATGCTGTAAAGAGTTTTTATGAGGATAGTGAGGTTCAGGTTAGGGTGTGTAGAAGAGAAGGAGACTACTTCCCGGTAAAAGTAGGTCTTAGACAGGGATGTGTAATGTCACCATGGTTGTTTAATATATTTATAGATGGGGTTGTAAAGGAAGTAAATGCTAGGGTGTTGGGGAGAGGGGTGGGATTAAATTTTGGGGAATCAAATTCAAAATGGGAATTGACACAGTTACTTTTTTGCTGATGATACTGTGCTTATGGGAGATTCTAAAGAAAAATTGCAGAGGTTATTGGATGAGTTTGGGAATGTGTGTAAAGGTAGAAAGTTGAAAGTGAACATAGAAAAAAGTAAGGTAATGAGGGTATCAAATGATTTAGATAAAGAAAAATTTGATATCAAATTGGGGAGGAGGAGTATGGAAGAAGTGAATGTTTTCAGATACTTGGGAGTTGACGTGTTGGCGGATGGATTTATGAAGGATGAGGTTAATCATAGAACTGATGAGGGAAAAAAGGTGAGTGGTGCGTTGAGGTATATGTGGAGTCAAAAAATGTTATCTATGGAGGCAAAGAAGGGAATGTATGAAAGTATAGTAGTACCAACACTCTTATATGGGTGTGAAGCTTGGGTGGTAAATGCAGCAGCGAGGAGACGGTTGGAGGCAGTGGAGATGTCCTGTTTAAGGGCAATGTGTGGTGTAAATTTTATGCAGAAAATTCGGAGTGTGGAGTTAATAAAAGTATTAGTCAGAGGGCAGAAGAGGGGTTGTTGAGGTGGTTTGGTCATTTAGAGAGAATGGATCAAAGTAGAATGACATGGAAAGCATATAAATCTATAGAGGAAGGAAGGAGGGGTAGGGGTCATCCTCGAAAGGGTTGGAGAGAGGGGGTAAAGAAGGTTTTGTGGACAAGGGGCTTGGACTTCCAGCAAGCGTGCGTGAGTGTGTTAGATAGGAGTGAATGGAGACGAATGGTACTTGGGACCTGACGATCTGTTGGAGTGTGAGCAGGGTAATATTTAGTGAAGGGATTCAGGGAAACCGGTTATTTTCATATAGTCGGACTTGAGTCCTGGAAATGGGAAGTACAATGCCTGCACTTTAAAGGAGGGGTTTGGGATATTGGCAGTTTGGAGGGATATGTTGTGTATCTTTATATGTGTATGCTTCTAAACTGTTGTATTCTGAGCACCTCTGCAAAAACAGTGATAATGTGTGAGTGTGGTGAAAGTATTGAATGATGAAAGTATTTTCTTTTTGGGGATTTTCTTTCTTTTTTGGGTCACCCTGCCTCGGTGGGAGACGGCCGACTTGTTGAAAAAAAAAAAAAAGTGTAAATATAAAAGGACCCCAATGGAAATAAGTCACTCTGACTTTTTTGGGTTATCCTAGGTACTTTACACATGCTGCTATGCATGATAATCTCTGTACGTAACTGTGTTTGTGTATACCTGAATAAACTTATGTATTTATAAATTAAAATTTAAATATTTCTTATTTAGAAATTAAAATGTAAATATTTCTTATTTATAAATTAAAATGTAAATATTTCTTATTTATAAATTACATACATTAAGTGTGAATAGTGGAGGTGGGTTCTGCTGCTGCCTCACCACCAACACCACTATGTACGGCTTCTCTCAGTGGCCCTTATAAACCCAACAACAACACTTCCACCACTTACTCCTCATATACATTATGACATATTTTATTCATTTTAGAGTATATATCATATTTCTATGTTATTAATATTGTTTATTATGTCATATTAGATGAATTGTGATAAATAAGCTATAATGATATTAGCATCATATTGAAGCATAATAAACTCGCCTTCCTCTTGCCTCCTATGTGTCTTCCATACACCAACAAGAGTCAATAAAGATAAGTGTGATGTTAAATGTTCATTTATCCATTTTATTAGTGCTTTATATTTATTTGTCATTGTTTTTGTATGTATATTTATATTTAATCTTTACAAAAGATATTTTTTTTTAATACTTTTGGCTGTCTGAAACTGATTAGTTGAATTTCCATTATTTCTTATGGGGAAAATTAATTCAGATATCATCCAAATCGGTTAAAGGCAAGCTCTCTGGAACGGATTAATGCCTTTAACTGAGGGGTCCACTGTACTAAACCTGAAAGGGCCATACAGTACTGTAGGGAGGGATGTGCAGAAGGAGGAATGTATGAAGGGTAGGAGTGTGTGAAGTCCAGGGATGTGCAGGGGGCCGGTTGTTTATTAAATCCGAAGAATAAGATTATTTTTCCACAGTTGTAACAAAAATAATGAACAGTTTTGGATTTAACATAATTTGTCTGTTAAATCCACAGTCAATTTATCCAGCAGACCATAACAATAACAGACATTTCTGGATTTAACAGACTTGAGTATGTTAAAGCTGAAATTTATTTATCCATCAGACACTAAAAGTAATGGAAAATTCTGAATTTAATGGACTATGTTATTTCTATATGCTGTCTGGTCATTTATTTTGTTTGTTAAATCGAAAATTCACTGAATTAATATTTTTACCATATTTGTTTGTTTAATTCATGCTAAATGCTAAATGACTTTTACCAAGTATTCAGAAAAATGTATTGAACTTTCCATTGCCATAGGTATGAAGGTACTATACAGTACATTTTATGCAGTTTGATAATTATAACTAATTATGCTAAAGAGGAAAAGGTTATCTTAGGTACTAGAATATAAATAACAAAAAAAGGCACAATACCGTGACTGGAATGATACACAAAAACCCGACTCTGTAAATGGTCCAAGTTCGACCGAAACATCATCGTAAGCTCCTCTCTTCTATGTGCTGGTTATTTGTGTACTAGAGTATGTTTTTTTCACCAGAACTTTTAATGCTCATCACACATACTGTATGGTTTGTGAACTGGCTGCAATAGTAGGTTTCATGTTATTAATTAACAACTGTTGCATTAGGACTATTTATTTTCCTTTTATCACAGTATTTTATTTTTATCTCGTATTATTTTAATCATATAATTATGCAATATGTTTAGTTTTCCTTAATATATAACATTATTTATCTACTACATACTTTTATGCTTGCCAAATTTAGTCACACTGGAACATAACTAATATTAAGTGGCAAGAAAATTTGTACATTAAAGCAAATGCAATAAATCCTAAACAAGCTGTGAGAAGTCAATAAGTCATTTATAAGCACAAATTCATAACAAAAATTTAAATATTTTAAAGTTTTATTTCAGATAAAAAGTTTTAGTCAAGTACTTACTGTGTTATAATTGTTAATGCAAAATATCTAATTCAATGACTCTATAAAAGTGCCTTGAATAACATTATATGCAACTTATAAATTCTTTGTTTATACAAACAGTTGAATATTGTACTGAAGCACAGTTGACCCCGGCTTAACCTAGATGAGACACTAGTGAGTTTCATTTATTACATTGATGGGAGAGGGGGGAATGGAAGGCTATCACGTGCAATCCAAAGGGAGGACATTTAATTCCTTGAATCAAGAACCCCCTCACGACTCACGAAATCGTAATGACACGATTGCAAACAAACCCCACCTGTGGTATGGTTTAACCCCCTCACCTTCGTCAAGGCACCTCCTTTCATTAGCATTTCCTATAGCAGGTTGCATTGTAACTTGAAATGGAGATTGGGCCAGCAACAGGAATTACGTATGGATTAAGTTTTTCAGTGATGAAATTTAAAAAAATATGTTCTCAAGAGATGGGTCCATTGTTTAGTAGAGGCATAATGATGTTAAACCCTCCATTTTGTCAGTGCATAAAAAAAATGATCAAAATATTAACAAAAGTAGTAATGTTATGTCATCTTGTATTTTTGTTGGGTTAAAGGGTTATGATGTCCACTAGGTGACCAACTCCCTGAGCCATCACAACCCTTCAACTCATCAGTTCCCAACCACCATGAGATTGAAGATTTTACTGCATTGTAAGTTATAGTACTCTTACTTCTCAATTTATATTTACTACAATTTTGTCTGATACCAACAAGAGAAGGGAGGAGTGGTGGAAGGGAGGTACAGTAATATGGCATTACCATTGGTAAAGTTCTTTCACCAACATGACAAAACCTGTGACTCTTTGTCAGTGATAGTGTGAACGATATTGAAAGTGGATTTTTTTTTTTTTTTTGGGGGGGGGGGGTCACCATGGCCAGCATATTACAAAAAATCCATAAACATTATCCCCAGTTTCTTCACATTTTAACAGATGATGTAGGTATGAGGTAGTAAAGGCAGGAAATTTTATTGCAAATTAATACAATAGAAAAGTAAGTTTGTTGACAGGGGGAATGATGGTCCTAGGCTTTCTTCAGTTATTTGAAATTATGTTCAATGAGCAGTCGTTAAGCAGGGGTTCACTGTACTACTAACATGAACATAAGTGCCATGAGCCTTAACAGTAAACAAAGACTGATAGAGGTAACTATGCCTCAAAAAAAATCATGTTTACTTGTTTTAGATAAACAAAAATTAATGTTACCTGAGTATTTATAACTCAATTTATAGTACATTTTCTTTCTGAGTCACCCTGCCTTGTTGGGAAATGGCTGGTGTTAAAGAAATCACAGATTAACCTTTACTATAATAATCCAGTTTAGTAGTAAAAAATAGAGAAATTTCCTGTACAGCAAGTGAAGTTTAGAAATTCATCCAAATAATTTGTGCCACAAGTTTTATACACAGTTGAATGAAGGGTGGTTTAATCACACTTGTGGTTATGGTTTATTCAGTTTAGGTTTCATCTTCAATACTTTCAGCAAGAACTGATCCTTAGGAATTTTTTTTTAAGTTTTAACCCTTTTATAAAACAAAAGAGTTCTAGCATCACATAGTACTGGAAGACAATACAGTATCATCTAAGCTATATTAAAGGAGCACATTACTGTGCACTGGAATGTTTTGGAAGAGTAAACATAACATAATGTATAAAGAGAGAATGCATATAATAAAACAAATTAGAGAAAATATCATAGTTTGTGTTTATGCAACTGAGTCATATCAGACTTTCAACAATAGAAACACAAAAACACCCAAAAAATGTCAGGTGCATGAATAATTATTTGGCTATCTGAAGATTATAAAATAATATTCATTTTTAAATGGGATTGCAAGTTTTAACAGCAATGCTTTACTCTTACTACTCTCAAAATATTAATCAAATGTCATTTTACCAAATCTACGAATCTAATTTAACTTTTTCATTCTCCATTCTTAGTTTACTGATTAAAATAAGCAATCACCATATTACAGTACATAATTAACACTTACTTAACACTTAATTTGTTCAGAGGAGAATATCTCATCATAAAATACAGGGCACAAAGCATATTCCTTCCTTAAAATCAAGGATGCTATGAATCTTTACAGTTCATTTGCATACATTTTCATACATTGTTATTCTCAAAACTTTTAGTGGGATACAATGTTTCAAATGCTATTTTGGTTTTTACATGAAACTGAGTGTAGTCTTCATCTACTTCAGTACAAAACTATGAGCAGATGGTGCAACAGAGGGAAGGTATCAATGCTTCACAGTAACCACAAGTTATCACCATACTGTACAACAGGAAGTGACACATGATACTGGCATAGGAATTATTAAAAAAAAAAAAAAAACTTTTTGAGATGGGGAAATTATCTTTACCATTACATATGTATGAATTTGAATATTACAAAAACTAATTTCCCTCAGAATAACAGCTTAAAGTAAATAGATCTATAGTCAAAATGCCACAAAAAATATTAATCCACTCATAACTGCAATATTGAAATCCTTGATATAAGAGAATTTAAAAAAGAAAATAGTTTTAAATTACTATTTACTCTAAGTTCTCTAACAATTTCAGATATTATTAGTCTAGTGTTTATCATTAAAGTATTTTGGGTGGAAGGCACCCAGCATACTTTTAATGTCAAAAGTAATACCCCACCCTGGTAAGTTTATGGGCAAGATTCATAGTGGGCCATTTTAGGATTCCCCAAGGCTACTGACTGCATCCTAAGTGCCTATAAGCTTGTTTGATAAATGATTTTGTGTCTGGGGTCCCCTGTGCCATGTAGTTTTGAGGGCTGAGTTTGTTGGACATTTTTGGCATTTTGGGCAGGAGTAAGTTGCTAACACAGAGACTATTGCACAGACCACTGGATTACATAAAGCAGGCCATAAAACAAAAGAAACACCAAAAACCATCAATGTGTGTGAGCATTCAGTGAGGACCTGGTTGTGTCAATTCCTTGAGGACAGTGTTGGTGACATGCCCATGCCAAAAGCATTTCTAGGGAAGCCTAAAAAAAAAAAAAAAAAAAAGTACCCACTAATGTTAACTTTGTGATCAGTTGCCCAAATCTTTCATGCAGTATGATGCAATGATTTTTATGCAAGACTGTGCTCCTTCCCAGACCACAAAAACTGTTGTTCAGTGGCTTCATAATTGTCTGGTACTCTTCTTTGATAACTGGCCAAAAAATTTCCCAGACTTGAACCCCATCAAGAACCTTTGAAAAATAAACACATAAGCAGTATAATGTGATCCTTTATTGACAATGTTTCGCCCACACATTGGGCTTTATCAAGTCACAAACAGATCTACCTGAGTGTCAGGTGGAGAATGCTGGGTAGGTTGGATCTGATATGGACCTACATGGGACTGGCAGGTGCATATGTAGTTATGTGGGATAACTACATATGCACCCACCAGTCCCGTGCAGGTCCATATCAGATCCAACCTACCCAGCATTCTCCAGCCTATACTCACGTACCTTTCACCCAGGTAGATCTGTTTGCGACTTGATAAAGCCCACTGTGTGGGCAAAACGTTGTCAATAAAGGATCACATTATAATGCTTATGTGTTTATTTTTCCATTGTCAGTATTTTATACCATTTATTTCCAAGAACCTTTGAGCTGAGTTATAGCTCATGACTGGGTGGTGCCATTTGCGAGTCATGGGAAAAATGATCCTATGAAACCCTGAAGAATGTGTGTAAATCACTTTCTAGACAGTTCAAGGATGTCCTAGAGTACAAGGGATGACCTATATTGTGGTTATGCCCCTCAAGGGAGGGTCCTTGATGCTGGTGAGGGGCTCTTGATCTAGGGAATTCGATCTGTATTCCAGTTCCCTGAATTGAGTCTGAATACCTTCCATCCTCCCCACAGGCACTGTATAATCCTATGGATTTAGCGCTCCCATGATTATAATTTGTGGTTATAAATTTAGAGGAGGAGGGGTTAGCATACTTAATGATGAGTACTCCATATCTGGATTAACATACATCCACAAGCTGCATGACCTCCCCTATGGGTCCAGAGCTTCCTCATGAATATAATAGTAATAATACAGGTCCACTAATTTACCAAATACATGTAATCATTACCTAAGATCATTACAGGTCCTACATACTATATGAGCAATCCAGACCCAGGCCAATGAAATTTCTGTTGGTGCTTATGTACTGCTATACAACTTTGCCATGAGATACTAGATTAGAAAAGTTAAAGGAGTCTTACACAACAATAATATTTGCTAGTCAATAAACAAATGACAAGATAGTTGAGCATAACTACATACTGTACATTTCATATTCCAATATATTGGTGTGCCTGATCATTAGTGACTTGGGGAAGGAAAGCAGCTTTCTGAATAATAATCTACATTTTGAGTTATGGTAAGAGAGGAAATGAAGTCTCCTAGATTAAGAATGAAAAAAGTTTTCACATGTAAATTTATCCTTGTAATTCCCACCCTTTATATTTAATGAATCAGATACACAATTTGCTCCAATATTTGATTAATACAATATATAATTTTAAATCATTTATTTTATAAGGTCCTTACTGCAGACTGCATTTAAAAAAATATACAATTTATTCACATCATACTACAACAAGACTGTGCATCTACTCCACCAATAACCTCGGTTGGGTCACCACAAAACTTGCGTGGTGTAAGAGATGGAGATGCTGGCGGTCTATATGAAACTGTATCAACACGTACAGATGAGGCTGTAAACTCTGGATTTCGTCCATGAGTTCGAGGATCATATTCAGGAGCGGTAAGGGAATACGTGCTTCCAGCAGAGGCCAGAGTATATGAACTTTGTGATGCACGGGACATAGCACGCTGTTTCTTTAAATCGGCCAGTGTCCCAGGTGAGAATGGATTGACAGTAACAGTGACATGAATGTCTATTTTACTGCCACCTTCTCCACTGTGAGTAACCATTCCTCCTCCATTTCCACCGGTTCCATTTGCATTGGTTGTAATTACATCTTGTCTTGCAGATGAACTCCGAGGTGGAGGAATGGGAGGCGAAGCCTGATGACCCTCTGTTACATCTTTTTTAGTGCTGCTGGTTTTCATTTTATACCCATTATTATTGCAAATGAGGCTGCTGCTGTCGCTACCTGATCTCACTATTAATTCCTTTTCTGTTTTTGCAACTGATGCTGAAAAGTAAACCACAATGATTAATTTATAACCTGTGCAAACAGGGGAATCAAGTGTATGTATACTACATAAAATATAAGAACCTGAATAAAATCCATCAAGAGCATTGTCAATTTGGGGAAAAATTAAAATATTTGAAAAGTGTCATTATGGTGGCAACATCTGGGTATTATGCAGTGTCCAATGATATTAACAAGTAGTACAGAGTTAGTGCTGCCTGTGGTACTAGTGTATTCTGGAAAGAATGCCCTCTGTTTTGGGAACTTTTTAGACATACAGTAGGGCCCCGCTGTATGGCATTTCACCTAACGGCATTCCGCTAATATGGCTATTTCAAATTATGACCAAAACTCGTTATACAGCTCCCCCGTCTTTCTAATATGGCACGCCCCACCCGGTTTGTTTACATTCTCTGTGAGCACATTTCTCTATTATGTCTGGAAACTTTCCAAAATTTCAAGTGTTTTAACCCTTTCAGGGTCCGTCCCATAGATCTACGGCTTTACGTTCAGGGTCCAAACCGTAGATCTACGCCAAAATTCTAGCAGTGTCAAATTTAGTGCAAGAAGGCTGGTAGGCCTACATCTGAGAGAATGGGTCTGGGTGGTCAGTGTGCACACCATAGAAAAAATCTGGACGCCAGCATGGCATTGTGGGAACACCGCCAAAGTAGCTTTGTTCATTGTGCCTGGCGGCAAGGAAGCTCTCACTCCCCACTCACTCTCTGGGTGAATTCTGACTCTCCTCTTCACAACTTACAGTTCTAAGACTGATGGAAGTGGAGATGAAGATGAATTCTATGGTTTTAAACCATATGGTACAATGGTACCATATGGTATAATGGTGCCATGTCATACAATGGTATCATATGGTACATTGGTATCATATGGTACAATGTACCATATAGTACATTGTACCATATAGTACATTGTACCATATGGTACATTGTACCATATGGTACATTATACCATATGGTACAGGGTACAGGGACCCTAATGGAAAAGTCTGTCTGACTTTTTTGGGTTATCCTAGGTCCTCCAAACATATGCTGCTAAGTATGATATTCTATGTAACTTTATTTGTGTATAACTAAATAAACTTACTTATGATGCCACATGCACTTGAGTAAGTTTATTCAGGTGTACAGAAATACAATTACATAGATTATCATACATAGCAGCATACGTATAAAATCCTAGGATAACCCAAAAAAGTCAGGGTGACTTATTTCAATAGTTATCCCTGTATCTGTACCATATGGTGTCCTGTACTGTATGGTACTCTGTACCATATGGTACCCTGCATCATATGTTATCCTGTACTGCATGGTACCCTATACCATATAGAACAATGTACCATATGGTACCCTGTAACATATGATACCGTGTACCATATGGTCAATAGGTGTTGGTGGCATGAGACACCAGCCAAGACTGAATGAGTGGCGACGCAAGCTAGCTACTGACTCCGCAGTTTCCAAGACAAAGTGCTTTGTCATCCACCTCAAGGAACGCGTCAAGTTCCTGTACACTTGTAAATATATAATAGAACATTACTAATATATAACAATTTTGCATATTTTTTTTTTGTAAACAACTATTGTAAACAAAATAATGAAAATATTAGTGTTTTTATGTGTTGAATACAACAGTACCATATGGTACAATGAATGATATGGTATCATTGTACTGTATGGTACAATGTACCATATGGTATCATTGTACTGTATGGTACAATGTACCATATGGTATCATTGTACTGTATGGTACAATGTACCATATGGTACCATTGCATATGTACCATATGGTACCATTACACCATTTGGTACCATTGTACCAAATGGTGCCATTGTACCATATGGTACCATTGCATCATATGGTACCATTGTATCATATGGTGTCATTGTACCATATAGTGCCATTGCACCCTATAGCACCATTGTACCATATGGTACTAAATGGTACCGTTGTATTCAACACAATAACCACACTAATATTTTCATCATTTTGTTTACAATAAACTTGTAAACAAGTTTTGTAAGCAATATAATGATAAACAAATTAGTGCAGTTATTGTGTTGAATACAATGAGTGTACACTTACACAATATACATTATATTGGTCCCACAGGCCACAAATGTTATTAGAAAAAGAAAATTTGAAAAGAAAGAAAAAAGTATAAAAAACGTAAAATAAAAAAATGGGATTTTGCGGAAGTCATGATGTTGCCACCACCCGGTCATTTTGGGTCAACTTCCCGCCGCTGTATCTCGGTAAGTGCTGATCAGAAAAAAAAAAATTTGTCTTATTACCTTCACAAAAATATACTCTTTAATTCTGTAAGAAAAAATAATTTTTTTTTTTTTTCAAAATTTCTTGGACACTGGGAGCACCACTTCAGATTTTGGCCTTGGTCCCTGAAGGGGTTAAAGTTATTGCATATTTTATATGTACAGTAGGCCCCCATTTACATGGCAGGTTAGGTTCCAGGCTACCGCCATAAAGTGAAACACTTTTTCCCCCACTTATAACTGCATATACAGTGGTACAGTGCAACTCCAAGTTTCATCTACCCTGCATATCATACACTTCAAGTTTAGAACCATATTTTTTTTATAAATTTTGTCCCGAGTTTCGTCCTGCCTACCAGACCTGTCTTCTTGCCCGTGCAGGTGTCGTGAGTCAGTGTGGCTTTGTTTCTCCTCGAGTGAATATAGACATTTTCATTAATCCATCTATGATACTTTCTTCAAAATTATATAAGAAACATGTTACAAAGTACACACCTACCATCTGACTGATGACCTGCTCGACATACGACCACTCGACTTACAACCATGTTTTGTATGCCAAATTTCTGGGAAATAAACAACTGTTTGTGCTGTATACAGTGTTAATCCTAAACCTTACAGTATAAAATACAGTACTAACAGCATAAAAAGTAAAGTAAAAAATTAGATATCAAAATAAAACAAAATACAGGTCTCCCTCAACATTCACGAGGGTTAGGGGATCAAGAGCCTTGCGAATGTTGAAAAATCGCGAATGTTTGGTGCCCCAATATATTGTAGGGAAATATAATACAATACTGCTTCCTTAACTTGTCGAATCATGAACAATCATAAAATACACGTACATGAAAACGTCGTAAATTGTACTAAATACATACGTTATGCCTTAATAACATGTATGTTATTAAATACCACTGCCTCCACCACTGCAAGTCCCTACTACCCTCCCTCTGACCCCCCACAACTGGCAGCCAGCCCTCCCACCAGTGTGGTGAGTGTTTTGTTTGTTCATTATTTGCTATTAAACTACAGTACGTATAAATAATGTCAACCCATTTATGACTGCATATTGGAATGGCTACTCGGACAGGTATTGGAAGGTGACAACATATGTTTACTCTTGAACACAGCAAAGAATCAAACATTTGTGCTACTGCTACTGCTAATAATAATAATAATAATAATAATAATAAATACGATAGAATTGAAGAAGGAAATTGTACAAAAATACGAGGGTTGAAGCAGTGGTGGAGGAAGGTAGTTGACGCATCGTCAGTGTGGCTTTGTTTATGCTGGAGTATTAGTCTCCGTGCTCTTCCAAACATTTCACAATAATTCATTGTATTTGGTGCTTGTAGATTGAGTGTGACTGGAGTGGTTGAGGCAGTGGGTGAAGCAGTGGTATTTACTAACATATATGTTATAAATAATAATAGTACATGTTAATATTAATAACATTTATAATAATAATGATAATAAATGTTATTCATAATGTACTATTATTATTTATAACATATATGTTAGTAAATATCACTGCCTCTATCACTGCCTCACCCACTGCCTCTACCACTGCCTCAACTGCTGCCTCACCCACTGCCTCTACCACTGCCTCTACCACTGTCTCTATAACTGCCTCTACCACTGCCTCTATAACTGCCTCTACCACTGCCTCAACCACTCCAGTCACACTCAATCTACAAGCACCAAATACAATGAATTATTGTGAAATGTTTGGAAGAGCACGGAGACTAATACTCACTCCAGCATAAACTAAGCCACACTGACGGTCAACCACTTCCTCCACCACTGCTTCAACCCTCGTATTTTTGTACAATTTCCATCTTCAATTCTATCGTATTTATTATTATTATTATTATTATTATTATTATTATTATTATTATTATTAGCAGTAGCAGTAATGTTTGATTCTTTGCTGTGTTCAAGAGTAAACACATGATGTCACCTTCCAATACCTGTCTGAATAGCCATTCTAATATGCAGTCATGGATGGGTTTACATTATTTATACTGAAGTTTAATAGCAAATAATAAACAAAAAAAAACACTCACCACACAGTGGTGGGAGGGCTGGCTGCCAGTTGCAGAGGTCGGAGGGAGGGTAGTAAGGACTCGTGGCGGTAAACTTAAATATGATTTGGCGGCTGGGAATTTGGCGGTTGGGAATTCGCGAATGTGTGAAGCCCACGAAAGTTGAAACCACGAATGTTGAGGGAGACCTGTAAAATCATTACAATAATATGACGTTAATATTCAGTAGTAAGGTTCGACTTACTTCCATTTTGACTTACGACCGGTTGGTCAGAACCAAGCTTGGTCATAAGTCAGATCATACCTGTATATAAAAACATGCAATGTTTATATGCGATGTATTTTTAATAATAATCACTCTTGGGCATATTAAATGTCTTATTTTACATTAATATAGACATTTTCATTAATCCATCTATGATACTTTCTTCAAAATTATATAAGAAACACATTACATAGCATATAACTATGCAGGACAAGCCAAAGGGGGTGGAAATCTTTAGCTCAAGTAATTGCATACTTCTCAGTGCATCACCAGGAGCTGTGCAATGTTGCAAGGGAGCAACCAAAGCAGGGAGAGAGGTCTCAGAGTAACGTAGGTGTCATTGGCCATGGTTACCCAGTGACACCTACTCTACACTGAGACCTCTCTCCCTGCTTTGGTTGCTCCCTTGCAACATTGCACAGCTCCTGATGATGCACTGAGAAGTGTGAAAGTACTTGAGCTAAAGATTCCCCCCCCCCCCCCCCCGTGGCTTGTCCTGCATAGTTAAGATCGCCCGTCTGCAACTGTTTGCATTATAGCATATGACATATAAACATGCAATGTTCATATGTTATCAAGTGGTGAGTACCGGTGAATCAAGGAGGGTGGAAGGTAAACATTACGTTTTCTCTGATGCAGCATTAGAGAAAACTGAATCTGGCGTCTGGTGCAGTAACCGCCCTTCATACACGTTTGTTTACAATTCTGGGCATGAATTATTCATTACTGCTCCCTTTGTTTATGATGGCATCTAACAGTAGTTGTTAGAAACAATTAAGCTCAGTGAACATGGTATGTTGATGTAATAATATGGCTGTGTAGTGTAATAATATGGCTGTGTAGTGTAATAATGTGGCTGTGTAGTGTAATAATATGGCTGCGTAGCGTAGCCCAGGGGGGCTACATACGTGTACCTACATCAACAGGCTACCTACACTGAATTCCTACAAATAAATACTACTCACCGCTCACCCTACAGTAAAACTACAAATATTTTAAGGTAAGTGATGAATGTACTGTATCAGTAAAAGAAAAAGAAGGGCTCTGATACCTGAAGTCCTTATGGAGGGATATTCCCAACTCCCTGGAATGGATTAATTGTATTTACATTAATTTTTATGGGAAATACTGCTGCGACATTTTGACTTTAGTCCTAGCTCCTGGAACAGATTAAGGACAAATCTCAGGGTTTGACTGTACTTCGAATATTGGCCGAAATTCGTTCCAGAAGGCTGTTCAAGTGCCGTTACCAAACGAATTTGTTCCCATAAGGAATAATGTAAATTAGATTAGTCCATTTCAGACCCCGAAAAATACACTTACAAAAGCACTTACAATAATACACTTACATAGCTGCTCGAGTTGGGAGCCGTTCGAAATTCAAGGTGCCACTGTAAATGCTAGTTAACAAGTTTACACTAACATATATTAAGATAGCAATAGAACTAGGCATTAAAAAACAGTAAAAAAGTCAAATACACATAGAGAACACTCATTACTTACCTTAAAATATTTGTACAGTGGACCCCTGGATTACGTAGTCGTTGGATTTCGTAATATTCGGAATAAGTAACATTTTCGTCAAAATACTGGCTCGGTGATCATCACTAAACTCGGTAATAGTCATTCATCCCAAATGTGTCTGCGCACAGACACACCATTTACAGCCAGTGTGCCATTGTTTATCAGCCAGTGAGAATGATCTCACATAGTCATATGATACATTTTGTATTATTCCATTCTTTTTAGTGCTTGTAACTGCTAAATAAGCCACCATGGGCCAAAAGAAAGCTCCTAGTGCCAGACCTTTCATAAAGAAGATGATAAACACAATAGAATTCAAGAAAGAACACACCAGCCAGGGCACTTCCCCACACACCAGCCAGGGTACTTTCCCCCACACATGATTTGATTTGAGTGGGACTTGCGTATGAGTGAATAGAATTATTTTTTTTTTTATTATCACACTGGCCGATTCCCACCAAGGCAGGGTGGCCCGAAAAAGAAAAACTTTCACCATCATTCACTCCATCACTGTCTTGCCAGAAGGGTGCTTTACACTACAGTTTTTAAACTGCAACATTAACACCCCTCCTTCAGAGTGCAGGCACTGTACTTCCCATCTCCAGGACTCAAGTCCGGCCTGCCGGTTTCCCTGAACCCCTTCATAAATGTTACTTTGCTCACACTCCAACAGCACGTCAAGTATTAAAAACCATTTGTCTCCATTCACTCCTATCAAACACGCTCATGCATACCTGCTGGAAGTCCAAGCCCCTTGCACACAAAAACCTCCTTTACCCCCTCTCTCCAACCTTTCCTAGGCCGACCCCTACCCCGCCTTCCTTCCACTACAGACTGATACACTCTTGAAGTCATTCTGTTTCGCTCCATTCTCTCTACATGTCCGAACCACCTCAACAACCCTTCCTCAGCCCTCTGGACAACAGTTTTGGTAATCCCGCACCTCCTCCTAACTTCCAAACTACGAATTCTCTGCATTATATTCACACCACACATTGCCCTCAGACATGACATCTCCACTGCCTCCAGCCTTCTCCTCGCTGCAACATTCATCACCCATGCTTCACACCCATATAAGAGCGTTGGTAAAACTATACTCTCATACATTCCCCTCTTTGCCTCCAAGGACAAAGTTCTTTGTCTCCACAGACTCCTAAGTGCACCACTCACTCTTTTTCCCTCATCAATTCTATGATTCACCTCATCTTTCATAGACCCATCCGCTGACACGTCCACTCCCAAATATCTGAATACATTCACCTCCTCCATACTCTCTCCCTCCAATCTGATATTCAATCTTTCATCACCTAATCTTTTTGTTATCCTCATAACCTTACTCTTTCCTGTATTCACCTTTAATTTTCTTCTTTTGCACACCCTACCAAATTCATCCACCAATCTCTGCAACTTCTCTTCAGAATCTCCCAAGAGCACAGTGTCATCAGCAAAGAGCAGCTGTGACAACTCCCACTTTGTGTGTGATTCTTTATCTTTTAACTCCACGCCTCTTGTCAAGACCCTCGCATTTACTTCTCTTACAACCCCATCTATAAATATATTAAACAACCACGGTGACATCACACATCCTTGTCTAAGGCCTACTTTTACTGGGAAATAATTTCCCTCTTTCCTACATACTCTAACTTGAGCCTCACTATCCTCGTAAAAACTCTTCACTGCTTTCAGTAACCTACCTCCTACACCATACACTTGCAACATCTGCCACATTGCCCCCCTATCCACCCTGTCATATGCCTTTTCCAAATCCATAAATGCCACAAAGACCTCTTTAGCCTTATCTAAATACTGTTCACTTATATGTTTATTGCTTGGGTAGCACTGACAATTGTGTTGGACAAATATTCTGTTAGTGGGATGGTTTGTGAAGGACCTACCTAGTATGGGCCAACAGGCCTGCTGCAGTGTTCCTGCTTTCTTATGTTCTTATGTACACCAGCTGAGGAAATTGCTTCAGAGGAGGAGAAAGAGAGAGGGAAGAAGGCACCTTCTTCCATACACCAACAAGAGCCTTCAATAAAGGTAAGTGTGATATTATTGTTTTATACTCGATTTCTCATTCTTTTCTGTATGTAAATCTATATTTAATCAATAAAAAATACTTTTTGTTAATACTTTTGGGTGTCTGGAACAGATTAATTGGATTTACATTATTTCTTATGGAGAAAATTAATTCGGAAATCGTCAGATTCGGGTTTGGTCACTCTCTCTGGAATGGATTAATTACGAAAACTGGGGGTCCACTGTAGTCTTAATGTAGGGTGAGATGAGTAGTATTTATTGTAAGAAATCAGGTGTGGTTGGTATGGTAGCCAGGCCAGGCCAGGCCACCCCCACCCCACCCAACCCAACCACAACAAATATACTATGACATTTAACCCCTTCAGGGACCAAGGCCAAAATCTGAAGTGGTGCTCCAGTGTCCAAGAAATTTTGAAAAAAAAAAAAAAAAAAAAAAAAAAAAAAAAAAAAAAAAAAAAAAAAAATCTTACAGAATTAAAGAGTATATTTTTGTGAAGGTAATAAGACAAAAAAAAACAAAAATTTCTGATCAGTACTTACCGAGATACAGCGGCGGGAAGTTGACCCAAAATGACCGAGTGGCGGCAACATCAGTGACTTCCGCAAAATCCCATTTTTTTATTTTACGTTTTTTATACTTTTTTCTTTTCTTTTCTATTTTTTTCTTTTTCTAATAATATTTGTGGCCTGTGAGACCAGTATAATGTATATTGCATAAGTGTACACTCATTGTATTCAACACAATAACTGCACTAATTTGTTTATCATTATATTGCATACAAAACTTGTTTACAAGTTTATTGTAAACAAAATGATGAAAATATTAGTGTGGTTATTGTGCTGAATACAATGGTACCATATGGTACAATGGTGCCATAGGGTGCAATTGTACCATATGGTACAATGGCACCATATGATACAATGGTACCATATGGTACAATATGGCACAATGGCACATGATACAATGGTACCATATGATACAATGGTATCATATGATACAATGGTACCATATGGTACAATGGCACCATTTGGTACAATGGTACCATATGATAATGGTACCATATGGTGCAATGGTACCTTATGGTACCATATGGTGTAATGGTACCATATGGTACCATATGATGCATTGGCACCAATGATACCATATTGTTCATTGTACCATATGGTACTGTTGTATTCAACACAATAAACACTGAGGAAATGGTATGGTGATACCGACAAGATGTGGAAAAAGACACTTATGTACAGTACAGGACATTTATTAAAGGAAACGTTTTGCCACGAGTGGCTTCTTCAGTCCTAATACAGAGAAAACTAAGAAAACATTTATATATATAGTGGCAGGAGTCAGGTGAGGTGACGCGT